TACAAATTCTTTCACTGAATCATCATTTATTTTTTTTCAGTCTGTCTGTCATGTAATATCTGGTAAGGAAGAGGACACAGCTCAGTGCCTTTGTGCTGAAACTATCTCAAAACATGTTAAAGCTGAATTATAAAAGATACAGTAATTGCATGACTGGTTTGTATCGCAGATTCACTCTTTTAGATTCAAGCACTGCGGGAGGAGTTTATGATTACGTGTCTTAGAGTTTCAAGTTACAATAACATGTTACCAGAAGAGCTCAGTGTGGAGTCACAGCTTCTCTGTAAAGACGACACTGTCTCTTCTCTTCTTAGTCATTTTTCTTCCGTTTCACCATCACAACGACAGACACACGCTCCAAAATCATATTTCACATCTATGCTTTACAGTTCTCTCCCTGTGATTTTGAGATTATGGCTCCTCATCAGAGCTCATCCCAGCCAATATGCCTCCAGGTTAGAATATCTCATCTAAAGAACATGTTTTGTTTTCTGCCTCAGTTGAGTGTAGCCCACACACTCCACATTTTCACAAGTGGACAAAAACAGGCTGGATGGACAGAGACAGGCTGAAGCTCTGTTATCTATGAACCAAAAGCCAGTTGGCATGAATTCTTAATCTCACTCATGAATGCCCATGATTTATTGATGCCGATCCAGAGGAAAAGTTTCCCCCCACATCCGAGGCTTCTGCTTCACTCGAGTTTGACTGCTCTCGGACAGCGACTACATTACAGTTGAGTGATATATCGTATGTCAAGTGTCCGGTGTCTTTAGTGCAGCTGAAGTTTGCTTTCGTTTCAAATGTCTATATGTCTTGTTTTTTGCCGCTCTGAGTTAATATCTTTGGACTCCCACATGGCACACAGCAGTAATAATAGCCCCTGCTGTACTGTACAGCAGCCTGCAACCATTTTCATTGCAAATTCAACTCAAACAGCACTCTTGGTTCCCTTGGAAACCAGGTGCTCTGAGATCAGAAAAGATCCATTTCACACTTCAGCAGCGAGGGGAGAGACAAAGAGATAGTTAGACAAAGGGAAAGTGGGAGGAAGAGCGGATTAGAGAAAGAGAGTTGGAGGGTGGGGGGGGCTTTGCCATCTTCGCCATGTTCAGAGCTCCTCAGGAATCAAGAGAACGCACATGCAGATTTACAGCCACACAAAAACACTCTGAACGACAGGGAAATCAAACCAGAGGTTCCGTTTTATGCATACATGTCTCTTCTGGGCTTTCATTTGCCAGAAAGAAGCAGGAGCTGATTATTTTCACAAACTTGAGAGAGAATCCAGCCTGAGTTTGGAGTCACTTTAATCACAGTGGATTGTGCGAGAGAGCAGTTTTGAATTGATTATATTATTTTTACTGAGACAATTAATTTGTCAGTAAGCCCCTACATGAATCTTTATGCTTGGTAGATTGTATAAGAAGAAGATATAACCAGATGAGCTTCCGACTTACTGCACATAAATCCCTAAAACCTAAAATGAGGCTTTCATATTCTGTTGTGGCCAAATGATTAAGTATGTGTGAATAAAGACAGCTCCCTGCTTGGATTGAATGTGTTCTACACCACTATTAGACATGTTGACACGTGTTCACAGCAAGAACATTTTCGGAACATGGGTAGTCCATGCAGGAGGCGGTACATGACGTTTAAATCCTGCTGCGAGAATCATGTCTTTGTTTACAGCACATCAACACTGGTGTTGACCCGTATCAACAAAAGCTCTCTAATCTAGTCTCAAATTACATCTTTGTTGGCGTCTTCTACACGTGGCACCTCTATTTTGTGATGAGATATTTGTATTCTTTTCCAGGTTTACTTCTGCCACACGTTAGAAACATCCAAACATTCTCCAGCTGTATGCTCACACGGGCTCACGCACTCATTTTCTGGACATTTTTATCAGGGGAGCTGCCAAGAGAAGTTCCAAAAAAATGTCTTTCTGGAAAAGACCGTGGTCGTCCTGAACCTGAACCACCAGCACAGGCAGCCGGCGCTGTGACAGGTGGAGCTGAGCCGTGTCTGAGGAGAGCGATGGTCTGGAGCCGTTTCAACCACTGGTACAGTGGCAGAGGGCCAGGAGAGGATGGCGGACGATGTGATGGTTTAGGGGTTTCATTTCAGCATAGAATTAAAAATTAGAAATAAACGTGATTTTTAAACAGCAGCATTAATGTATTCCATCAAAGAACCCTCAATATTTTTGTTTACAGCTCAATACTAACACATTTAAATGTGTTGAATCTCTTTAATGTGCAGTAGCTTTTATTAATTGTGGTTTGAATTGTCATGTTGAGATGTTCTTCAGGTCTGTTCGCTTAGTTTGTCACAGGAAGTACGAGGTGCTTTCTCAAGTCGATGTTTTGTAACCAGGCATGTTGACGGGGAAGGTTAATGGTTGTATCCATTTCAAACTGCATGCTCCTCTGTTGAGGACCTTACAGCGAGAAAAGTCAAACCTCCGACAGTATTTGACTGTCTATTGATCTGAATTTGGAAACGCTCCCTGACCTCTGGTTGAATTACTGGGTGTCTGTTTACAGAAATGCTAAACGCAGGAGAGGGAGCATGTTGTGTTTTCTTCATCCTACATTTCCACAGCCTGAATTAACCCACGAGATTTTAAAAAAGGATGCTGTCGGAAATAACGTTTCCTTCTGCCTCTGGAGCTTCCCATAGAATCCTGGATTTGTCACGGGTGGAGAAAAAAAAAAGACTAGATCTAAATATTTACTGTCTTGCCTCCCAGGCTGGTATCAAAGTGTGGAGAGACACAGTTTCCCTCTGTGATGTGGCACGAATCACATTTTTAGATCTGTATCTGTCAAGTCAGGTACAGACCGCACTGAGCCGGATACTGGACAGAGAAGCATTTATCCCCACACTAAATGGTTCACCATTTTCAGCCCAGATATACAGAGGAAAAAAGAACAAGGCTGTTATCTGCATCCCTGTCACAGCGTCTGATTATTTTATTTCTGCCTCGGTCAGACGTCTGAAGGTATCGCTGATATCACAGGCAACTTCCTCATGTCTTTCCTATTAGAGTGTGATAACAGCCAGAGATTAATATCTTATGAATCCAGAACACGGGTCTGTACACCTTTTTTGTGAAAATCCTTACCTCTGCAGCAATAAATCAGCTTATTGATGGGCCTGTTGTTTTTCTATGTGTACTCACTGCCTTCAGTATTGATCTGCTTTGTTGTGAGACAAACTGCAGAGGCTCTAAGTGCACAGGTAACATAAATATGCACACACAGCCTCTCTCCAAACATTTAAATGGAAAGTAACTCATGACAGAGCAATTCAAAGTCTTATGCGGTGTAAAAAGGATGAAGATATGAGTCGTCCATTTCTCACATGGACGCACACACGCACACACACACACACACACACACACACACACACACACACACACCTTCATTACAGTAACTTGTAGCTGGTTCACTGAGCTGCTGCATACTGTGTAGTCCAGGTCTAATTGGTTACAAGGATATCAACAGCTGGACTGATACGGGTGGTTGGAGCTACTCAGTGTCCTCACTGACTGTGACCAGAGAGATTAATGTGGATGCAGCTGTGTGTGTGCGCGTGTGTTTGTGTGTGTGCGTCTGTGTGTGTGTGTGTGGATTAATTAGATAGGAATGACATATGACAAGTAAACACTGAATTTTGCCCTCAACCCCATCAACCTTCTTCCAGAGTGCAGTGATTCCTGTCTAGTGGTACACAGTGGTACACAGTTGTAGGGGGTAAACAATGGTACATAGGGGGTACTCCTGCAGTTACCAGGAAATATGTGGAAAGACTATTTATGGGTTTTTCAACTACTTTTAAAAAGGGAGAAATTATGATTTAGAAAAAACTACGTCCACATACTGAGTAGGTTGTAATACCAGGACTCTAAGTTTGAACTAGAGAAATGATGGCTATCTTAACTAATGAATTAAAGTTCAAATTAGATGTAAATGTAATAGTTGGTGTAGATATTAAATCAAAGGAATGAAATAACCAACAATAATGAATAAACAGTTGAGATAGCTCAGTAAAAGTAATGGATGAACACTTACAGGTAGTGTGAGGTGGAATCGTTAGCTCCCCAGAGGAGCGTATGTTTTCATCAGCATTTCTTTCTTTGTTTATTTCTTTTTTCAAGTGCCAAGTGGAGGCATATCTGAACAGAGCTGACCTGTCCTGAAGGTTTTCAACCTCCATCTACGTTATAGATTCTGTTGCACAATAAAACGCCTCAAGAGCTTTTAGATAAAAAGACATACAAGTGATGTTTTCCAGTAGTAGCAGCTGATTGCGGCCTCCCACACGCCTGTATTCTATGTCCCATGGGTTGTTTTTTGCAGTGTGTGTTTCCGAACAGTGCAGATTAACCATCTACCATCTGCTGGGTTGTGTGTGTGAAGAGCTCATTATTCTGCCTGTTGAATCCGGATTGAAGCTGTCGCTGCACTCCGGCTATCAGACGGAGCTGTGGGAACTCTTCTATACGAGCAGCGGGGTGGCTGCCGGAGGATGCAGCGTTGCTCGCACACGAGTGGCTGAGTTGTCGACATCTGCCTGACAGAGAATGAGCTGTCCTGCAGCCAGTCTCTGCCTCCGACTGTGATAGTACAACATACATCTATCTTATGTGTAATGAGAGGAACTGTAAAACGCTGTGTATCCATTTTGAGATCAAGACTGCAGGAGAGGACATTATGTAATCTGTTACTGCCTCAGACCTGAAACCTTTGATGTGTGTGTGTGTTTGTTTGTACAGCTATCTTTGTGAGGACCAGTTTTACCATTTAACAGGACATTTTTGCCGGTCCTCACTTTGTGACCCCCTTTAATGGACTGTTTGGGGTTGTGACTTGGTTTTAGGGTTAGGGTCAGAATTAGGTTTAGGTTAGGTTATGGGTTAGGTGTGTGTGTGTGTGTGTGTGTGTGTGTGTGTGTGCATCAAGTGTAATGTATGCAATGTGTTTGCTCCTCAGGACCTTGTGGGCAGCGCTCCACCTCAGAGGAACTGGAAGGGGATCGCCATCGCCCTGCTCGTCATCCTCATCATCTGTTCCCTGATCGTCACCTCCGTCATCCTGCTGACGCCTCGTATGTACAGCACACACACACACACACACACACACACACACACACACACACACACACACACACACACACAGTAAGGGGTTCGAGGTGGTGCATAGGCACCTGATGCAGGCTCTTAACTTGAATGACACCCAAGGCCAAACAATCCTTTGATGAAACCCCTTTTAAATCAGCTCAGTCTGTTTTTTCTTTGAATCTGCACCAAACTACACACACTCACCTGAACACGCCTGATTGTTTCCATTCAGATCAATCTCGCAATGTTAAAGAAACATTTGTCTGGATCCATGCCAAGTTTTTTTTTGGTCCATGTCATAGTTTTTGTGTAAACCTGCTGACAAACAAACAAACCAACGGGTGAAAACGTTGTTGCTCACCATCATATTAAACTAGTGCAGTGCCTGTTTTAAACCTGCCTATTTGAAATGGGCTGTTATACTTGGTCTATGCCAAAGCTTGCTGCAGTTTTTTCTTGAAAATCTGAGTCAAGTGAATTTAAGTCTGGTTTCATAAGGGGACTGGAGGTGTGCACTCCATTGAGAGTCTTTTTTTACAGTGTGAACTCTCTGCTCAGACTTTTTGGCCTTGCCCTCTGCTCAGCGCTCTGGTTATGTTTGTCGAGCCTTAGCTTTCGTAATGATTTCTGATGTTTGGAGCCCAGTTTTTGTCTCCTGTGATTTTGAGTCCTCGCCTTTTAGTTTTCAGACGTGTTTATGTGATTATGCACTAATAGCTGCAGCCATTTGTCAGGATTGGAACAGCATCAGAGATACCATTTGCCTCAGGTGGGGAATTATCCTTTTCTCTCCCCCCTCACTCTGCAGCTTCATGCCTGACAAATACATTTCTCCGATTTTTCATGTCGATAAACACTTCTCGATGTCTGACATGGTATTTATTCACTCAGATCCTTCAACTCAGTCACAGTGTGAAGCCGGCTGAAAAACCTGTCAATGCACTGTTTTGTAGAGTAAGACCCACGCTGTCAGCCGTCGTGACAACTTGTGTGTGACGGTTGTTTACCAAGCACCGTTGCGGTAGATCACACACTCGCTGCGTCATTCCTCACGTGCACACACACACACACACACTCACACTGACACATTTGCGTTCCCCTGTTGTCTGCTCAACCCGTGGTTCAGCTGTCAGCTTCAGATCTCATCCTGAGTTTTTGGGGATGGCAGGGCCCGCCCCCTGCTAAAAAACGAAAGGGTGGTAGTTGTGATCTGATGCTCTCAGATCAATAAGGGCAGCACCAGGGGTCGCTTTCTTGTTAGCGCCTTGTTCTAAATTTCTCTACCTATGGGGGGTAGCTGTTGGAGGCGATGGAGAAGGAGTCTGCTTTGGTAAGACGGTGTCACTCTCAGGTATGAGGCTGCACCGTCCTTAGCAACTTACTGACAGAAAGGTTAAAAGACTTTCTTCATTTTCTTTTCTCAGAACTTTCTGAAGGACAGCTTCTCAACGTTTTCTGCAAATAGACAGATGTGAGTCTCTGTTCAATCATAAGCAGGTTTTCTGTGTGTGCTCTCCACAGGGGAAGATGACAGCCTTGCCCTTAAAAAGAAAGTGACGATCGAGGATGTTTTCGGTCCGGACCTTCACATCCATGACCCCGAGGCCAAGTGGCTCAGCGGTGAGTGAGCAGATTGCTGTTGTCAGTAACTCATTATATACAGTTGTTTTGATTCATATAAGAAGAAAACACAACCCCTGCAGTGAACAGAGTACAGACAGAAGAGTGAGATTTTTTTTAAAATGTTGATGCCGTTGTCGTGGATGTTGTCGATCCATTGCAACTACGGAGCGATGATCGATAGTTTATTGAAAGTTAAATCATATTGCATAGCGTGCCTTAATCACACCAAATACAACGCTGCACTTTCTTGGGTACTTAACAATACACACGCCAAGTGTGAAGCCAATAAGAGGAATGCTTTACCAGATATTCTGGTTCCCACAGTGAGCAAGCTCTTCAGTGACTGTGGAGAGAAGTGGGCGGCCATCTGCTTCCACCAGTTGGGGTGAGCGGAGAAAAATGAAATTGTAGGTAGATGATAACTTCTGTTTCCTCTAGACACCTTATGGTGATGATTGTCCAAGCAACTGACTCAGGATCTGGATTGAAGCCAATTGATTCAAGCTTGAAATGTCCTCTCTCTGAAAATTTAAATGAAGTTGAGATGAGATCTGGTAGAAAACTTTCAGATAAAACTCCACGTTGTCTGCATGGGCTGAAGAAAAAACCCTCTCATGGTGGCAGAGGAGCTGAAACAGAATTTATGGTGATGCGCCGTGTAACTGGGATTACATGGAACCATATGTGCAAAAATAAATCAACATCCGAAATATGCAAAGCAACATCTGGACAATTTGGAAATATTTGCAGAGGACAGATGAAGTTAAAATTTGGCTCTTTGGCCACAGTCAGCAGAGGCGTGTGTTGGAGTTGATGAAAACAACATGTTGGCAGTTGAAGGGTGCGGCTGGTTATTGCACCTGCCTCTTTCTACAGCTAATGATGATGCTGTGCCTGAACTGATATGTTTGACTTAAACCTAATTTTGACAGTGACCTTGGTTTTCTTACTAAAACACACAGTTGTTATGCAGCATGACGTGGATACACATGAGTTGTAGTTTTTCAAATAAATTTACATTTTATTTCTGTCTACACAGACAAAAAATTCCACAGGCTTCCAGCTCATTTGGTTTGTTCTGTTTATTCGTCCTGTCTCTAGTGTTTGGAGTAAGATGGTCTAAATTAAACAGACGTGCAGAGGAGTGAGTTACTGTGTCCTCTGTATCTTTGACATGGACGCTAGTGAGGAAGCTCCTTGGATCAGCTCAGTCAGCGCCCTCTGGTGTTCCACAGGAAAACTACTTCTAATCATTTTCAGGGTCTGCATGAAAAACTCTCTCATTATTAGTTGGATAAGAAGATTTTACTTACTGGTCGTCACCGGATCCAGAGCTGAGGATCTCTGAAGATCGGAACGTTATAAATGAGTTGATTAGATTTTTCTTTGTCAGTCTCACTGGGAACTTTCTCATGAATCACACAACTAGCGGAGGATGGTTTCAATCCATTGACTTCTCGGTTATGGGCCCAACACGCTTCCACTGCATCACTCAGCTCAGTCTATTTTACTTTACAGCTGATATACAACTGTGTGAAGAGTTTGAAGAGTTTGTGTCTAAATTCCTGGCCATCCCCTGTCTGGGATTTTTACAGTAGTGTGTAAAATGGTGTATACAACTCTTAACATCTGGGTTTGACCTTCTCACAACATGCATGATTCACCAAGTATGTTTAATAGCTTCTTCTGGAAATGTAAGAAAACCTTATCTTAAGAATTTGTTTTTGTGTTTCCAAGGTTAAAAATGAAATTAGTTTTTCTTATTAACAACCTGGAAATGTAGTTGTAAAAATGGAATCTAGCAATGAAAACTTCAGGAAAGATAATGTATTAAATACAATGTAACAAATAGTAATATGAATTTATTTGAATAATTCAGTCCCGTCCACAGGAATCGAATCTGCTCAGTGTCAAGATTATTAATAAACTTGAGTTGATTTAAGTTATATCTTCACACCTGATTTTATAGTTTTTTCATGCTGTAAAAATAAAATATCATGCGGTACCTCTGGAGGAGAAAAGTATCCACACATACATCGATATGTGAGTGTGCAGTAATTATGATTATCAATTTATTATGAGAAAATTCTAATATATTTATTAAAATGGACAAAAAAAATGAAATCACTTAGTTCAGCACACATTCAAATGCAAAGAGCTCATGCACTTTCCCAACTGCTGTCTTGAATTTATACTGAACCTGGGTTAATCATATATATAGTGCATATATACTGAAATATTATAGAATTTGAATAGCGCTGGAATACGATATAATTCATATAATATGATATGTCCTCCACATTTTGAAAACTCATCTCCTGCCTGCGCTGACAGACAAATCCCGACCTTACATCTGTCCTTTTTGTTCACGCTGCCGACTGCTCCCCTGATTACTCACACTACCGGCTTATTAATGAACGATTAGTGAGCTTCCTGTGTGTGCCCTTCATTGACGGCCATGATGAAATCTTCCTCGCCGCCTGACGAAACTCCCGCAATCAATCGTGTGACATTGCGTCTCGTAAATTAAGTTAATGCAATCAACTCCCATTTCGTGCTAATGACCTTCTGATAAGACGTCCGTTGGGACGACTTCACACTTCAGCGGTGCTCATCAATATTTCGTGGGCTTCGTTCCCAGCGCTGTGTAATTGATCCCTGTTGCTCTTTGATCACCGCTCGCCTCTGCAGTCTTTGGACTCACCTCTCATACACTTTCCTACTGAGGTCCAAAGACAGAGGAGTCGACCTTCAGACTAATCTTTCACATTCATATTACTGAATATAATATTAACTCCAACAGTGAAAACAAGCCATCAACTGGGAACGTCTGACGCTAAAACTACTCATGAAGCTATAATGTCCCTCATCATCCCTTATACCAACAGTTCCCTATTAAACCACATTTAAATTCACATCATCTAAATTTTCATGTGGATCTGCACCAAGATCTCCTCAGGAAATAGATTAATTGATTCAACTGTTCCTAAGGGTGGCATGGTGGTACAGTGGTTAGCACCGTCACCTCACAGCAACAAGCTTCCCAGTTCCAAATCCGGTTTGGCCAGTGCCTTTTAATGTGGAGTGTTTGCAGGGGTTTTCTCCAGGTACTCTTAGTTTGACCATAGGTGTGAATGTGACAGTAAATGTTTGTCTCCTTATGTTTATCCTGTTATGGGGATCTGCACCCTGTCTCTAATCCAACGTCTGCTAGGATTGCCCCCCCCCCCCCTATGACTTTGATGGTCTCTTTAGTTGTTTTACCATTTCTTTGTTTGGGGGCCTTTGTTTCATCACAAGGCCACAAACTTTTTTTTTTAAAAGCAGAAATCGTGTTCCAGAAAGTTTCGTTTAAAACCCCTGAGGCAAGTTTTAAATTACAGCAAAATCATGCACAACAGAGTTAAATCCTGTGCCTTGATTTTCAAAAACAGTCTTTCTGGTGCTAAGGAAACCAGAGGAAGGAAATCAAGTGTTCAAGATTAGACTCTTTTGGACAGGATGACAAGAAAACCTGCACGGCAAAAAACAGCAGACAAGTGTAGCAGGTCAACAAAGAGCTGCATGTTAGACAAATTTGTGGGAGTCGAAACTGCTCGTTAATGCTGCTTTTGTCCATCTCGATCTCTGGTGGTGGTTTGCCATTTACAGACAATGAGCTGCTGTATCGTACGAGGGACGGGGACGTTGTCAAGATCAACGTTGACACAAAGGAGAGAACAGTTGTTGTGCCCAACCAGTTGTTTGTGAGTATCATCTCATCAGGTGGGAAGAATCTTTCTGTGCTTTACTTTTCTGATAAATTATTACTTTTACTTGCTTCACAAATATCTGTACTTTCTACTCCTTACATTTCCAAAAACATCTTTTTATTTATTTATTTTGCATTATCGAGCGTTGCCTTCCTGACACCAAGACAGATTTCTACCTAAATGGATGGGAGAGTAACTCAGAAAAGAGGATTCCTTGCTGTATATCAATCCGTGCATATCCTGCACAACGAATGTAACGCAACGTAAAAGACGTATCAAGACGAAACAGGCAAGAGGAAGACTCAACCGCAGAGAAGAGGCGTAGTCTTGACAGGAGTAACAATATGGACAAAAGTGAAAAGTCAGCCAACATCACTGATAAAGTATTGTTGTTGAAATCAACAACACTAGTTCAAGACATTGTGCATATTTGTTCCAGAAAAGATACATAATGTTAAAGCAAATCTTTTCTTGCTTTAACATCTGTTTTTAATTTATTGTTTTTCATTTAAATGGTTAAAGTTTAACTCAAATTCAGTGGGTTTTAATTTGAAGTCTTCGACATGAGTCTGTTTGCTTTGCACAGATACAGTCGGTAGAGATGGCCTTCAGTCGGGTACTTTTTACTTTTCTACTTTCTATCGTTTCAGAGCCAGTACTTTTATACTTTTATTCAATTAAATAGGTTCAGTCAGTACTTATACTTTTACTTGAGTTGTTTCTAATATAAGTTTCTGTACTAAAGTAAAGAACGTGTGTACGTTTGCCACCTCTTCACCTTGTCCACAAGTATCATTGCTACTGCTCCCGGGTGTGTTACGTCTTTGAGTGTGTTTTGTGTTGTTTTGTTTTATCTCATCCAGGACAGATCCAAAGCTGCCAAGTACCAAGTATCTCCCGACATGCAACACGTGCTGTTTGCCTTTGACGTGAAACCGGTGAGAAAACTCTGAGTGCTCGCTTGCACCAAATCGTTTTTCTAGACGTCGTCCTAATTTGATGCATTTTGTTTTATTTCCACAGATCTACCAACACTCCTACGTGGCCAAGTACATTATTTACAGCCTCGTGACGCAGTAAGAACCACGTCCTGTGTCCATTGTTGGGTTTTTTGTGTGTGTCCTCATCCTCTCACAGATCTCTGACTGGACATTCTACCCTCAGCCTGACCTCACGTCGACAGTCCACTGACGTCAGCCCCCATTTTCCTGCTTTGTCCGCCACTTTGCAGGGGTGCATTTAAGTTCATCTGCTGGGCTGTATTCACCCTGGCCTGTTTTTAGCCTTCCATCCATCTGTGTCTGCTTATTTCCCCCACTGCTCTGTGTTTGTGCCGAGCCAGAGCAAAGTCAGTGCTAAAAAAGTATGCGTATGATTGATGAAGTGAGGGAGCAGGAAGAAACATCTTTGCTCTTACTCTCCATTTGTATTCAGTCACACAGCATTCATTGTGCATGCAGCGTACAGACAGACTAATGCTGAATTTATTCCTTTAACGTGCCGTCTCCACAGGGAAACTTGGCCTCTGAATCCTCCTGAGGTGCATGAGGCCACCCTGCAGTTTGCCGGATGGGGACCCCGGGGCCAGCAGTTGGTAAGGAGGCCACACCCTTGAGATTACACTCAGTGAATACTGGAAACGCTGGTGGACGTCTCTCAGAAGTAGCTCTCTGTGGTGGAGGAGACTCAGTAGTGATGAATGTAGAGATGAGAGATTTATGTAGGATGTGATGATCACAGCATTAAGGGGTCTTGGGAAAACTTTCATCATTTTCTTTTCTCAGAACTTTCTGAAGGACAGCTTCTCAACGTTTTCTGCAAATAGACAGATGTGAGTCTCTGTTCAATCATAAGCAGGTTTTCTGTGTGTGCTCTCCTCAGGGGAACTTTCAACCTCTGTTTTTTCTAAATGGAGCAAAAAAAACCTCAGGAGCTGTCAGCTGTAAGCGTCACAGTGGCACAACCCGTGGCCTGGACAGTCTGGGGTTTCTGCAGGGGAGCAAACACACAGCCCTGTATGTGTGTGCATGGACATGCCTTCAGGTTTTGAACAGCTGGATTGGACTCAAAGAAGATACTGATTTGACTTCAGTGGTGAAAAGATGCTGAGAGGATGATCTCATGTTACTGTGAATGCAATATGTCAGCCACTGCTGAGGGACTGAAGCTGCTCTGGTTGGAAGAGGTGTTGATGGTGATTGTAGTTTACAGATAACACTGTACAACCATTTTACAAGAGTTACATCTTCAGCAGATGTCAGTGGGTTTCGGGGCTTTGAGTATTAGACAAAGACAGAATTACAAGACGACTGACACGTTGTTAGTTTTGGTCTTTTCATGGGATTTGCTGACAGGAAGAAAAATCATAATAAGCCTCATCCCTTAATGAGCTTAAAAGCGCCATTGATTGAAACACCCGATAATCTTTTGGTTTATTCTCTCGCATTATCCAAACTGCTGGTTCTTTTTCTACCTCATTGACGTTGAATTCATTTCGGCTTTGATTGCAGTCCTGTGTTTCCACAGTTATTGCTTTAAAGCTTTCTCCACCGCCACAGTTCCTCTTATCGTATCTTTGATTCAATTACAGATGCGTTGCTGTGAGAAAATATGAACATTTCAATTGGCTGACGGGAGTGAAGGGAACAGATGAATGTGCACATGGTGATGCTGTATCAGATCGTTGCTTCTGTGGCTCCACTTTTGATTTGATGACCAGCAGAGGTTAAGCGGGAAAAATGACTCTAGCTCTCGTATTTTGCATCTGACTGACCTGATGATGTTGGACCCGCTTTTTTCCTCCCTCACGGTTTGTGAATACAATGATTTCCCATTAAGTTTATCTGAATTAGTGCGATTTATCATCAAGCGTTTCATTAGTGTGTAAAAATGAGAGGCGTGTGTGAGTGTTTGTGGCAGTGTGGCCCTGTGTGCATCCAAGCATCAGATGTATAGTGAGAGGAGCAGGGAGATGAATCCTGCAGCGCTCCCCTCATTAAACCACAAGCAATTACTCTACCATGACAGAGCAATCAGTCAGGCTGGGTCAACACACACACGCACACACACCTGAGAAAGAGGTGATAGTCACACGAAGGAGGAGAGGAGAGGAAGGTAGATTTACAACAAAATGACACCAACTGAAAGTATTGTTTGACAAAATTGGAAACTATTCAACTAAAAGCACAGACACACACGAAGATGATGTTACAGTCACACAAAAGAAGAGTGGAGAAGAGATTTAAGAGAAAAATGAAACATAATGAAAGTAGTGTTTGGAAACTATTCAACAACCAAACACACACACACAAATACACACACATCACACATAGACAAATACACACACATCACACACAGACAAATACACACACATCACACACACTCGAATACAGTTCTGAAACTCTGCTGTTGGAGCTCCACAGATTTTCAGAGACTTTCATCTCATCACATTTTTCAAATAGCCCTTTTCTTTGCATTTTGCTCATTCCCTCTTTGCCCTCATCTTAATCATTTGAATTCAGTTTAAAAGTCAGAAGAACTTCACGTGCTCTACAGAGGATCCCAGTTTTCTGGGGCCATTCATGACCCTGCAGAGTCACTCATGACTAAACGATGGTTTTCTCTGCTGACAGTGAACGTTTGAGCCTGGAGACTTTTTGTATCTTTGAATTGTTTGGTGTTGATATTGTGAAGCTCAATCAAGGTTCTTAAGGTTGAGTTGTGGGGCAACTTTTTTCTGAGGTGTGAGTGATAATAATTAAAATTCTGAGTTTTTTTATGGAACTCTTTGAAAGCTGCCTGCGAATTTCTTTATGTCCCACGGTGATTTTGAAGCATTCGCCAACCACCACTGGCTTCCTCTGCCCTGCATTGATCTGCTTCCCTCAGATGTTGATCCCACAATATACAACTTTTCAGCAGCAGCCATATATCAGGGCGAAAGGAGCCATGTTTTTCTCGCTTTTTCTTATTCTTTGGTGGCGATTTGGAGGCTTAGATTTAACTGAAGATGTTTCAGCTGACAGCTCAGTCACACCAAACACAGCGAGAGCATCAGATTACCAATCAACACACATCCATCTCCCGTATCCTGGCACCAGCGAAAAACACCGAAGTGAATTGACAGAGGGTTTTAAGTGTCACATCTGCTAGTGGTGGGTCTCAACTCCTGCAGGCGACGCCCTAAATCAACAGCCTGACTCTCAGTTTAGCACAGCCATTGTCCACAACAGAAGACGACTTAATGTCTCAGTAAATACTGGAGGAAAAATGTACTTGTGCTTGTGTGTGTCCTTAATAATGTGCGTGTGTTTGTGTGTGTGTGTGTTTCTGCAGGGCCCCAGTCAGCTCCAACGCTTGATTAGCAACAGAAATGTTTTCATATGCTTTGGAGAGGAACCATAATGAGACAAATTCCCATTAATACAGGGCTCAAGGCAGGTGTTGACTGAGACCATCTTAATTTGTAAATGCTATTGAGTCGGGCGCTCAGCTTCAATCTGGATTAAGATTCATTTTGACGGAAAGGTCTCGTTTACAGCAGATAAAGAAAAGCGAGATGCAGAGGACGAGGGAATAAAAACAGACCTTGCTGTGTTCTGCAGGAAATTAAAGTTTAGCTTCAAATCAATGCATCAATACACTCAGTTGGATTATTAAACCCACACTCTACACTTCTCTTTCCAGATCTTCATATTTGAAAACAACATCTACTACAAAACAACAATCGAGAGCCGAGCGCTCCGCCTGGTTTCCACCGGTCAGGAGGGAGTCGTCTTCAATGGCCTCGCTGACTGGCTGTATGAGGGTGAGACGACAACTTACAGTCACACGAAAACAAAACCAAGCCCAGGGTAACATCAAAAAAATGTATATATCCATGTATAATGGATTTTCCTCAAAGTGCAAAGATAGGAGGTATAGATTCCTGTCGGATTCAGAATACAACCAAAATGAAGGAATTTAATGAAGCTGAGAAAATATTGGTCAGAGGTATTTGGGTGTCAGAATTCAGAATTCAGAATGTGATCATTTTACATCTCATTTCATTAATATGCTGCTAACAAAACAGACTCCAAAGAGAATTTGGTCTTTACAACAGTGTTGGAGACGAATGATGTGGCGGACAAGACTCAACTCAACATCTCAAAGTTGTGTGGATGAGGTTTGGACCAGTAGAGTTCTTACACACTAGGGAAACTTTGCTTTTTGCACTGGAGCATTATCATGTTTCTTTGAGTTAAAGCAGACAATATAAAACACTGTAGCATCAAAGTTGTAAACACAAAATTAATATGGAGAAGATATTGTCGAACACTCAAGTCACATACCCCAAAGACACTGAACAAGATTTATTTAAATATTGTATTACCAATAAAAATGATTTTGTTCTCCACCCACCCACCATAAATATTAACATGTGGCTTTACTCTGTTCTCTAGTTAGCTTTGCTTGTCTGCCGTTTGGTGCTTAACAGGTCATCGACAACTTGAGCCCTTTTGCAGCAGGAATGAAATTAAAACTAGAAAGACTCTGTAGAGCGCGTATCGATATATAATATCAGTCCCCTAAATATACTGGATTTTTTTAACATCAAGATCTATTAATTATTTATTAGGAAATAAGTGAAAATATAAAAGGAATTATAATAATTTCGAAACGTTAAAGAAGTTACAAAAGAATTTCTGGATCTGCACCAAAATGTGATTGTATTTCTCATTAGTCAGAGGTGTCCACAGACTGTTGGACATGTCAGTATTAGAATGACACCTCCCTGAGGAGCAGTGGGGGTGTTTTCGTACACGCTTCAGTTTGAGAGAGCACATCTGGCTGCGTTTCAGTGCCCCTCCCTCACCAGACTTCCATAGCTCGTCTTCGGGTTCATGCACTTTTAATTAATTCATGTCTGCACTGCTGCATTCTCACCGAGCAGATGTTCAAAATATGCTTGTAACATATTCTGATTATGAGATTACATATTAATTGGAGACGTCTCAGTTAATGGACGCTCCGGATTATTTGAGACCAGTTTTTCCACCGTTCATGCACTTATTATAAAGTTTATAGGCGTCTTGTTATAAAGTGAAGAAAATAAAATTAAAAGATTTTTTTAGTTCTGGATTCTTTCAGAGAGAAGTTTGGGGACAATAATTGCAGAGTGAGTGGATTATATAATTGTGTATTGTCAGTTATTATGAGAGAAATTCTGAGCAGCTTCAGGGTCACTTCTAAAAGCTTTTCCATTAATGGGATTATTTCTTTGTTGTAGGCACAGGACATGATGGCACAAGAAACCCATTTTGTCTCCCACACACACAGCTCATGGAGCATCCTGTATTAACACACTTTACTCACAAGGTTAAGGGAAGATAAACTCTAGTGTGAGCAGCGGGTGACAAAAAACAAAAAAACACTGTCTTTACCAAAATTGAATGGGTTCTTCCTTGGGTCACTCCCCACCCCTCCACAAATTTTGTGGAGAGCGGTGGAGAGGTTTTTGTGTAAACCTGCTGATAACAGTACAGCACACAAAAACCTAACCTCCTCGGTGGAAGTAATTTCTTTATCATTTTTTAAAATGATTTATCTCATAATTTACTGTCTTTTATTTCTGTTTCTGTAAAGTTTCCGCTGACAAATCTTTTGGAAAAAATCACCCTTCATAATCACATTTTAATTGTTGCACCATTGTCTCATTAGGTGATTCATATTTTTCTGAAATAATTTTTTTAATGCTTTGAAGTTGATCAGCGTTGATAATTACTCCTCAGTTGTCAGAATAAAGCAACTTTGATCGAGAGATTAACGACGGCAGAGACGTTCACAAAGTTTCCTTCAGATCCCAGGAGATGTGAGGCCTCTGACAACAATAGGTGGAGAGGTGTAGACCCCAACGTGAAGCTGTCTGGAGCTCTGTTGGGTGTTTTCTGTCTGTGCGTGGGGTCCCTCTCCTGCTGAGGCTGTATGTTCGCCTCTGACAGCTCAGGAGATGGCTTCAAATTTCTGGAGTTGTTACAGGAAACACGAGAGCTTTAGTTTGGTAGGAGCAACAAATTCAATGTGTATCCTGTGGTTACAAGGCAAAAAAAAAACTCTGACCTTCAGAAAATGATGAACAAAATAATTGTTGTCCTCCTAGAATACAACGAATCGTTATTAAAGACACAGCGAAGACTCTTTGTTCTGTGGGCACAGGCCTTGAACATCCTGCAGCAAACTAGTCACAGTTTTTAACTGAAAGCTCCTCGTCTCGTTTGCCCGCTCTGATCCTCTAATAACAAACTCCTCCGTCTGAATGCACCTTGAATAAAACCAAATAATTGAAGCCTTGCATCATCAATGATAACAGAATCTCAACGTCCTTATCAAGGTTGTGCTGATGGTTTTTTGCCTGGAGAAGGCTGCTGTTTGGATCCTCACATGAAGCTGCAGTGAAGTGCTTTTCAATAGAGCTCTTCTGCCCCCTGCAGGATGAACGTCACTCATCAGGAAACCGCAGGAAAAAGAAGACTCATACGTGAATGTCTTTACAATGAAAGACAAAACATTTTTTGGGATTATCTAAAAGTTTTCTTAAACCTCTGGTGACAGTGACAGCAAATGGCCAGAGGCTTTATATTTCTGCTTTGTCTGTCAGTTTCCATTTTTGTCAACGTGATATCTCAAGAACACCTTAAGGGAGTTTCCTCAAATTTGGTGCGAACATTCATTTAAACTCACAGAGGGTCAAAGGGTCAAAGGTCGCAGTCTGCTCAAAAATCCCTGTTTTACCTTGTGAACTCGTTATCCGAAGAACGCCTTGGAAAAAATACTTTAAAATTTGGAACAAATGTTCACTTAGAAATTACGGATTATCTGATTAGATCAGGGTGTCAAAGGTCAAGTAATGGTGGCCTCAGTTAAGATGATTTTTGGCCTCTTGAACATGATATCTCAAGTCTGTATCTAGAGAATGTACTTGCACTCAAAGTTTAAGTGATTAGATTTCAATGGTTAAAGCAAAAAACACAATTGAATTTCCAGAAATATCTAAAGCTTAAGCTGATGAGAAGAGGAAAGGAAAGGAGAGGGAGAGAGAATTTTGTCTAGTCTGTGTCCCCTACCTGAAAAATAGAAAGGACAATGAAATCCATCAGTTTCATACATTTTTCACAACGTTTGCATTATCCGGTTGTATTTCTGTATTTCAGAGGAGATCCTACAGACCCATATCGCCCACTGGTGGTCTCCAGACGGGCTGCGACTGGCCTACATGACCATCAACGACTCACTGGTGCCGAAGATGGAAGTCCCATTTTTCACAGGAATGCCGTACCCTGCCAACCTGGAGTATCACTATCCAAAGGCAAGTTGAATCCGACCACAGGAAAGTGGAGGGAGAAGTACTGAGATATTTTATTAAGTAAAAGTAGTAACACCGCAAATGGAAAAATGACTGATTACAAGCAAAAGTTCAAAATTCACATGAAATTCAGTCTGAAATATCAAATGTCCTCTTGGCCCCCTGCAGGCCGGGGAAGAAAACCCTGTAGTGCACTTGTCTGTGGTGAGCCTCAACGGACCCCTGCACACGGTGGTGATGAAGAAACCTGACGACCCTCGAATAGGGTGAGTGGCAGCCCGATGGTGCCCAAAAAAAAAAGCGCCTGAGCAATTTCTCAAGAAAGTCGAGCCCGAGGTCATTAGAGATGTTTGGTGACGTTTTCCCACTGTCTGGTTTTTCCAGGAGGGAATATTACATCACCATGGTGAAATGGGCAACCAGCACCAAACTGGCCGTCAACTGGCTGAACAGAGCGCAGAACAACTCGATCCTGACGCTGTGCGAGGCCACAACTGGAGTCTGCATTAAGGTGAAACACGAGGCACATTTTAAAGTGTTGCTTTAAATGTGTCAGAAAAGTCAAGAAGAACCAACGCACTCGTTGTGTGTCTTTTCCTATGATTTGTTGACATGAGTAAAAATAATGAAAACTGACAGATTTATTGTTTTATTTATGCGTTCTGTTCGACTCGGAGACGCTTTGAACTCATCCTCTCTGCTTTGTTTCAGAAACACGAGGATGAGAGTGAGAGCTGGTTGCACAGACAGGTAGGTGATCAAAACAAAAAGCTGTCCTGTTGCTGTGCAGCAGTCGGTTTCCTCTGTGTGTCTGAGCCTGAACAAATAAATAACAGAAGATGGAAAAAGCCCTGCAGGCCTGATGTGGACTCAGACTTCAGATACACTGGCAGCTGATATTGTTCCCTCTCTCCTCACTGCAGAATGAAGCGCCCCTCTTTTCCCACGGCGGACACAAGTTCTTCTTCACCCGAGCGATACCTCAGGGTGGGAGAGGAAAGTTTTTCCACATCTCCATGTCTACCTCCTTGGTAGGTAAAGCAAAGGTATCAGGAAAGTTTTATTTGAACAGTACGATGGAGTATCAGGGCTAAAACTTTTTACTTTATTCTTTATTCATAAATAAAAGACTAACAGCTACTTTATTATGATTTTATATATATAGTTGTACAACATTTGTAATAAGCCTATTACATATTTAGTCAAAAAATAACAACTTTACTCTTGTAAAAAATATTGTAATATCAAGCCTTTATTTTCATAAAATTACAACAATATTTTTTAATATTAAGACTATTAATACTACAAATGTATTCTTGAAATCTTGTTTTTTCTCATAATATTAGGCCACCTCATAAATAAATATAGAGCAGATCTAGACTCTACTCATTAATAGTGATATTTACCTTATAATATTTGTCCTGTGAGGCTTGGCACAGAGTATTTACTGGTGCCCTGTGTTATTGCTGCGCAGGCTAACACAAGCACAGACTGGAGCATCCAGTCCCTGACCTCTGGAGACTGGGACATCACCAGAATCTTGGCCTATAATCATGAAAGAAACCTCATGTGAGATGTTTTAATCATTTCTACCACATTTGTAACAGCCAGTGCTGCAGAGTTTATTATTTAATGATGATTTCATTTTTTTCAGATACTTTCTGAGCACAGAGGATGACCCCAAACGACGACACCTTTATAGGTAGGATATCACTGGATGTTTAAAGTGCCTCTTTATTTTCTAAAGTGCTGTTTAAAAGTGATTACTCTCTGCGTCGTCCCACAGCGCTGACACAATCCCCCCATTCAACCGCTGCTGCCTGTCTTGTGAGTTCAAGTGTGGCTACGTGGACGTTTCATTCAGCCACAACATGCAGTACTTCTTACTCAACTGTAAAGGTGAGTGACCTCCAATCTCTTGATTCAAGGCTCTTTTTTTTTTTTTTAAAGCGAAAAGAGGGTTTCATAGCCCGGTGTCCCTGAGAGAGAAAGGATCTAAATGTTCAGTGGAAACTGAATTAGTGCTTCAAGTCAGGCTGAGAGCTAATATGATAAATATCGACCTGGATATTAGCAGATAACCTCAAACCACTGCTGGATCAGCCACAAGAATAAATGTCTTTGTCCTGAGCTGCCGGCTGTGGTTTCTGATTTTACTGTCTGATAAATGGAAAAGAGATGGAGCCCGGTGGTTTGCATTGTGTTGTTTAGTAGATGTTCTCCTTATGTCCCTCAGAGACATTTCTCTTCTCTTTTTCTTCCAACACTGGGCCACAACAATGGAGTTATAAGGAAGTTGATTTGTTTAGGGGGCTCACTCAGGGGATGAAAAGTGCCGGTGGCTTTCTTCATTAATTGGATCTTTGGAGAGTAACTCCATTGTGAAATGATAAGCTTCTTCCTCATGTGACCAAAGGGGATTATTAACTGTAGCGCTGGCTCAGAGGCCTGTTTCTAAAATGTGTTTTAGATGAGACACAGACGACTCTTTCGCAGAGAATAGTTTTAGTTTCAGGCTCGATCACTGGTGGCTTCTTACAGGATGTTTTATCAACTTTATCACATGTACTTTTATCATTACATTCTTAATTATTTCTCCCTGAATTGCTCTTTACAGGCCCAGATATACCGAGTGTGGCAATCTACAGCACAGAGGACAAAGAGAGTGAGTTTCGTCCCTCTGGTGTTGACCTGTATTCACAGAAAACACATTTTCATTGATGGAATCTAACATAAGAGCTTTTTTTCCTCTTTCGCTGCAGAGGTGTTCGACGTGGAGACAAACGCAAGAGTAAACAACACGTACAACAACATGCAGATGCCCAAGGTGGAGTACAAGACCCTCACCATAGACGACTACAGTACGTGTCCACTTTCACAAGAGAAACCTGCCAGCTTCCCCTCGAGTTATAAGATGTAACATTAACGTCGTCCTGTGTGTTGCAGCCCTGACGATGCAGATCCTGAAGCCAGCTGGATTCGTAGATACCGCCCACTACCCCTTACTGCTGTTGGTGTACGTATTAACACATATGACAGAAACTAAATGCACAGTTATGCTGAGATACAAATCAGTTTCAAAAGATGCTCCTCCATGCAGCCTTTATGTTGGCATCACTGTTAAGCAATGCATCCACTAGAGGGCTAGAGGTTGCATAAATGATCCTTTAGTTACTTTGATCATAGTTAAAAGTATTTAAAGTCTGTACATAAAGATGGACGACAGAACAGCTCCCCAAAGTGAAGCAAAAGACGGTGGCGTTTGTATCCGGGATAATTTGGCTTTAATTCTGGATAGAGGGAGGAGGTGCAGATTCTCTCAAAGTTTAACATCCTGCCAATATTTTCCACAGGGACGGTACGCCTGGAGGACAGATGGTGACGGAGCAGTTCCAAGTGGACTGGGACACAGTTCTGGTCAGCAGCTTCAGCACAATCGTCATCCGCTTTGACGGCCACGGCAGCGGCTTTCAGGGCACCAACCTCCTCCACAAAGTGAGGAGGAGGCTGGGGAAGTTAGAGGAGAGGGACCAGCTGGAGGCCCTCAGGTCGGAACCTCCACCAGAACCGTGAGCACGGCTGTAAAAGTGGTTTCTGAGTTTCACTGATTTTCTGTCATTTCCAGGTTCATTTCTAAAGAGCCCTACATCGATAAGAACCGAATTGGAGTTTATGGAAAGGTAAGAACACGTGCTGAAAGAGTGTCCTATCATTTTGACTTCAGTGATCTGCATGCCTTCATTGACATATTTCCACAGAGTAATTAACTTGATGGTGGGTTTCTGTGTCTTTCTTCAGGCGTATGGAGGATATTTAGCCACAATGCTCTTGAGCTCTGAAGAGTTTACCCAACTCAAATGTGGAACGGCAGTCTCGCCCATCACAGATTTTGAGCTTTATGGTATATTCTTCTTCTCCAGACGTCTTGAAGAGATATTGGGACAGTGTGTGAAGACAACTAATCTTTCTAAACCTGTTTTTCTTTTCTTTTTTGAAGCATCTGCATTTTCTGAAAGATACCTCGGCTTAAAGACAGATTCTCGAGTATACACGGTAACTCCTGTGTTTCTTTATCCAAATCGTGCAACAAGATTTTTTGCTAAATTAGACGGAGGTTGGGGCAGAGGGTCATTATTCTGCTTCCTCTTTTCTTCAGATGGCAAATTTAGCACACAGAGCGGGTCAGCTGATGGAAAAACAGTACCTGATAATTCACCCAACTGCCGACGGTAACAGAGACAGTCTCCTTTTATTTTTATAAAACGAATTAAACTGAAATACTAAGTCTCTCCGATCTTGTCCTCACAGAAAAGGTTCACTTTCAGCACACCGCCAAATTCATCAACCATCTAATCAGCGAGAAAGCCAACTACACTCTACAGGTGAGCTGCCGACTGAAGTCACTGCTGCAATGATCATTATTTTTGGTTGCTCTTACAGGCTTTCCTCAGGGTCTAAAAGATTTGAGTCTGAAATATGTTAAAATACTTTGTTCAGGTCCTGCTTATGTTAACTTTCATTTAACACTACAACTGTTGGGCTTTGCAATTAGTTGTTTCAGAGAAAGATTTGGCTTTTTTTGGTCAAATGCATAGTGTGTGTAGTTCTTTCTCAACGATGCATACATTAGTACGATGTAATTAAAAACCACATAACGTGGAACTTACAACCGATGGTCTCTACAAACCCCTTGAGGAGGAAGCTTTTTTATTGTCAACAGTGGCAGAAAACAATGTACTCATCCCTCTAAGACTGAACCAATAAAATGAAAGATGGTAAAAAAGCTCCACTGAGCCAAAGGCAACTGGTTTGATAGACAAGAAGACAAGTTATAGTCATAACCACATGGAGCCAGTTGCACCAGCTGCTCTCTACTAAAGCAGATCTCAGAATGGACTGAACCAAAGTAAAACAGGCCCTTTTTCTAAAAGATGATGATTCTGGTGCTGGTGAGATCAGTCGCTGACAGTATCAATATCAAGAGGATGAATAAAAACACAATATTATATTTATTTCTGTTGACAGTTCCCCAATAAATCCTATAAACTGCTCCTTTTAACAGAATAATATGAACTTCTGCTTCAGGTTGGTCAAATGCGTTTTGTCTTATTATATATTTTACACTTTGGGGTTTCTCATATTACATGACTGGAGTCAAAATTGCGTTTCTCAGGACCCTTGTGTACAAAGTATTAAAGACGAGAGCAGGGCTGATCAAGTGCCTGTGTTAAAATGATTTATAATAATAAAAAAAAGACTATCATATCTTAACTAAGCTCCGAGACAATTGTGCAGTTTTATGGCCTGTGAGAAGAAGCTGTTGCAATCTTTTTACTTTTAACAACTTGTAAAAGATGAGTTGATCATGAAAGAATTGTAAGTTGCAGCTCTCTCACGTATGAATTCATTTGTGCAGATCTACCCAGACGAAGGACACTTTCTGAACAGTGACGGGACGCAGCAGCACCTGAGCCAGTCTCTGGTCAACTTCTTTGAGGAGTGTTTCCGGGTGCCGGAGGTGCTGACGGAGGACCAGCAGGAGGAGGAAGAAGACGACAGTTAAGCCTGAACCCTCTGAGCACCCACCACCCACCTTCACCCCAACCCCCAACTCACCCCCTCCCACCCAGACGAGCTACTCCAGCACAATATGCAACATTTCTCTCTCTTGACCCGGTCGACCCTCAACCCCCTGTCCAATTAGACTTTAGCTCGCAGACGCAAGACACAAGCATGTGCAACCCTGGGGGGGGGGCTCTCCTCACCTGAGCTGGAAACCAGTCAGACATTGAAATAAATCTCAGATGTGGAAAAAAGATTGGAATAAATGGACTAGTGCTCCCTCTAGTGGACAAACAGAGGATCAACATGATGCCCATGTTTTTTGACATTGATGTGTCTTCAAGTGAGCGCTTTGCAGCACAGAATATTCCCCTCAATGAAAATCCATTTATTATGTTGAGATTTAACTTTTGAGAGGCTGTCACTTTCTCATAACCTTTTGCCAACTGACTTACTGATTCTTGCGTTCATGGGTATGATCACTGCTACTTGTTTCTCAGAATCTCTGTTCAGTGTCTTACAGTAGTACCGTGGATGTCTGGCTGCATCGGTTTTTTAGTTGCTTCACAAAACGAGGGCACGTTTAACGTTAAAAAAAAAAGTCCATACAAAAATCTCCCTCACCCTGTACATGTGGATCGAACTCTTGTTTTAGTCACTGTGCCTTAATGTGGGTGAAATGTTCATGATAGGAGCCCACGCGATGCAGAGAATGAGTAAACATGGGCAGGCCTTCATCCAACCTGTGCGTCCTCTCGACAACTCGAACACAGATGGAATATAGCTTGTTGGAAAATGTCAAGTATGACGCATTTTTATCTTAGAACAGGGAAAAAAAGTGAATATGAAATATTGTGTCTGCTTGAAAGATGGAGTTATACCGAAACTATATTTAGTTTGCAGATCTTTACCTCCCAAACTTGCATTCTGGTGAGGTAACTATGCTGAACCTTCATTATTTTGTGAATTTCTTTGACTTGTGTGTTAAATGGCTTGACTCTCTCTCCTCCATGTCTCTTCTGTCAGTATTGTCAGTGGTTTCTAGTCAGCTGATGTACAAAGTGTATAAATCTTATATTGTTTAAGTCTTCATGTTGTATGTGCAACTTGTATATAAAGCATTTTGAAATGTTTGCTGACATCACTCTGGTGTTTCGACAGTTTATCTTAAGATCTTTTTGAGGAAACAAAAACGCATGAACATTTGCCATTGACAAAATTTATTTCCAGTGTCTCAGGACCTCTCGCAGTCAGAGGAACACAGCATTGGTACAAATGGTCCAGCTCAATCAAATGCTTCCTCTCGCTCAACAGAGAAGTACCAAACCGCCCGCAACACCCACACAGGCCTCATGAGTGTCATCTCTCAATACTGTACTTAATCCTGCAATCTGATGGAAATGTCAAGTAAAGCAGCTAGAACATGGCATTTATATGTACATTTAAGTTACTTATTTTACAAGGAATTATTTAAAATTCAAGTTCTGTTAAAATCAAAAAATGAAAAAACAGGAGGAGAAAAAAAAAAAAGTACAAAACATGTTAAGACCAGAGTGGAATGCCTCAGGAATGGAAGCTCGGCATATTGTTTCCTAACCTGTAGAATGACAGTCGACAATAAAAATGTCATTCACAGTAACATCTTCGTGTTTGTCAACAAAGACAGTATGGCACCCTTAACATTTCATTGTGAGGCACTTCCTATTGTGAAGATACATTATTTTCTTTTCTGATTCATTCACCCAGATTCTTTTTCTTCCTCTTTGCAATCTCCTGCCAGTCACCGGCAGATGAGTGAGCCACAGACACTGGAACACAGCAGAACATTTGCATCAGAGGGACGTTGTTCACTGCTCCTAAAACCTCACGACCGGGGTGAAAAACATCTGGCTCCATTTGCATAACTCCAGTGTCTCCTCGTGACCTTTGTACCTTTGGAAAGGCCCCTTTGACAGCAGAGAGCTTGTACGCAGTCCACACACAGGCTGTACCAAAAACAATTCAAGTACACAGAAAAATAGGGATATGTACACTTTAAGAATGAAACACAAGCATCTAAAGCTTTTAGTCAGTATTACAGCAAGCATGTCTGTACATTCTTCATTTGGTTACTGAGAGACTCACTGACTTTAAACATCATAACTTTCTTTACACAAAAATAGCTCCTCTGCAATACTAAAAATCTGTTTTTCACTACTTCCTATTCATCCTAGAAGTCAGGTCATCCTTAAAGCCACTTAGCTAAAACCTTTAAAACAATCTTAACTCTGAGTGTTCACACTTACTCGCACATGCTTCACAGGCTTGTCATTACAAGAGCAACAGGTCCTCTCAATCTTCAGCGTAACAGGGATTTGAATTAGGAGGGAGGGGGGTCCTCCTGCTGACCCATCCCAAAGTCATTTGTCATTAAAAAAAAAAAAGAAATTAAGAAGGTATAAACAGTATTTTGTTCCATGCCTTATATATGAGCAAGATCAACAATCCCTGTGTACAGTAATTCTCTTTTCACGAGCACACACACCACGTACAGACGCACACTCCTGACAAGTTTTGTACAACATGCTCATTCACAAACATTGGTCATACAGACATTATATCGACAGACTCCCAAGTAAGTACACATCTCACAGACATAGAACATACACAGTCGCACGTGTCCGTCACATCACAGGTACTGATAGAATCGTGAATGAACCACTTGGGAACTGGTGAGTTTATGTGGGTGGGCGGTGGCCGAGAGGCTCAGGTTTTTACTCTGGGGAACGTCCCCGTTCAACACTTCAGCCGGACGATGTGGGAGTTCAGAAGAGGAAGAGGCTCTGAGGTGTTGGCAGTTTGAGCTGCACAAACCCCCCTGCTGTTCAGAGAAGTCGAGGCTGACCTCGGGATTGCTGGTGCGGTGGCGCTCTCTGGCAATCCAGTCGCCGATGGAGAAGTCTTGAGAGGTGCACTTGGGCTTGAGCCGGTCCACGGCTGACAGCTCCGACCGAGAGCCCGAACAAATGCCAATGTGCTGCGGCCAGTCACCCAAAACGGACAGCTCTGCAAAGTCCCTCTGACCGCCCATGGTGTGTCTGCGTCTGATGTTCTTCTTCTTACTGCGACCCTCTGGGGACCGGCTCCTCTGACTGCCCACGCCAAACATGTCATCCACAGACGTTCGCAGGCGCACCTTCAGTCGGTCAGTGATCTTCAGCTTCCACGCAGGCTCCGTCTTATCCAGCTCACTACGAGACGAGGAGCTGAGGCTGCCGGTTGAACGGCCTTTAGCTGACCCCAAAACACGGGACAGTCTGTTGGAATCTTTATCGCTCCGAGCTCCATCCAGCGACGACTCACTGTCTGTTTTCTGTTGGGCGGCTTTCTTTCTGGAGAGTGTATCACATTCGATGAGTCTGTGGGAGGCGAGAGGTCGCGGAGCTTCTTGCAGTTCTCTCTGGTCGGTTTTCCCGACAGTAAACACAGACAGGTCGCTCTCGCTGTCCGTCTCCATTGGCCTTCCCTCACTGATGAGCTCACTTCTCTCATCATCTGCATCATCTCCACCCCGGCTTTCGGCCACAGACTGCACCTCAGGACTGAGGGTGCTGAGCTCGGCTCCAGTCAGGAACGTCATGGAGGAGGTGGTGGAGTAGTCGGAGGTGATGGAGCAAACCTCAGCCCCCAGCCCGCTGGGGCCCGCTTCTTGACTCAGTGCCACCGTCCTGCAGCGCCTCACTCTGGGCACCGAGGCCTGAGAGCTGGTGCTGTTCATCGTACCAAGGTCGGACACTGTGTCATCGTAGTTGGAGGGCGGGTCTGACAGAGAGGACTGGTGGGCCATCGGCATCCGGTAGCTGAGGTTTGGGGAATGAGAGGGTGAGGTGTAGGGGGAGCCAGAGCGAATGGTGGAGGAAATGTGCTCTGGATGCAGAGAGAGGGAGGTCTGTGACATCAGGCTGCTGGAGAGAGACTCCTTCCTACTGGTTTTGTCCAGCTGTTCCTCTGAGCTGTGTTTCTCTTTCTCGCTGGTTTCATCCGTCTCCCCCTCCTCCTCCTTGGTCCGGCTGTCTGGGGACCACAGGGGCTGCTGCTGGCTCTCCTCTGGGAGCTCCTTCTTGGGGAACACACCATCCAGGTCGTCGTCTGAGCTGCTAGGATGAATTTTGTCCTTGGGCTTCTTACGTTTACGGCTGGCAAAGAAGGAGGAGCGCAGCATCTCTTTGCTACACTGATCCTTCCCTGACCCCCACAAACCCTGCAAAGACAGAACCGAAAACAGATTTAAAATTATCGTCAATGCACAGATACAATAAAAACAAGGACAAAAAAATGAGGACTTTATGAGAATAAACATGATGAGGACATTACCTTAGCTTTAGAGGAGTCACTACATGCTGAATCTGCATTAAAGAGAAGAGGGTCATTAGTAAACGTTTGTCACCTCTGTGACTTCCTCTAAACAGCCAACGACACAACAGAAGAGAAGAGGCAGGTTAAAGGTTTGCTCAGAGTGACTCTAACAGACATGATGAGAGTAATGAGAGCAGCTTGATGAAAGCAGATGACTTTCTTTTTTTCGCTCAGAGAAAAGTGAGAGGACAAATGTCCACACTAAGCAATATATGGAAGAGTGGACAAAGCAGCAGAGGCCTGAGATGAAGGATGAGAGGAAAGGAGGTGAAACCCGGCAGTAGACCAAGACACAAACAGCAGCTCATGCTCATGTATCAATGGGACGACGGCACATCACGGACAAACACGCCAGTCACAGAGCATCACATGTAGCCACCAACCAGCTGTGGGCATTCTTTCCCAACTCAAAGATGTCACAGAGGAGAGGGAGTGATGACTGACTGAGAGGGGCCTGAGCTGAACAGATCAGTAAGTGTGTCGTGGTAGATACAGCTGGCGCAGGCAAGCTTTAGCATAACAGAGATTGCTCTTACTCTGAGCTAGATTAACTCCTGTAGCCCGACATTCTCAGCAACATAAAAAGGCAAAACAAAGAGTTAACCAAACGTTCTTTTCTCACTGTTCAAAAGAAGAAAACATGCAAACTGAAGCTATTAAAAATAAAAGAAATAGTTCCAGGAATTATGGAACCACAGGAACTAAAGTCAGGAACTCAAAGAGCACTTGTGTTTGCATTTTCAAGGCATCCAAAGAAACTATGATGGATTATGACAGCAGTGTTTGATGAAATAAAAAAGGGTTATGTTGTTCATAGTATTTACTGTGCTATGTTTAAATGCTTGTTATGAAGGGAGGAGACTGTTTAATCCACAGAATTTAGTTCCACAGAATTAAATAATCTATGGACGATGGCGTGAGTGCACGAGCAAATGTGACAAATAACGCTGCTCACAGCTAAACAGTGCAGCAATGAAGAAAAACAACAAGTAAGAGATCTCTCTCTTATCAGGAAATGGACAAAATGTCCAACTAATACTGTTGAGAGTGACATCCAGAGCTTCCTTATCGAGGGGGTTGAAGCTGTCAGCACTGGAAACTTGCTCTGGTTGTTGAATGGCCATCAGAAAGTACTACTCTTGCCACAGGGACTTTCTTGGTGAAAACAAACTAAATTTAGTTGGTGGCTCCTCTGGTTGACTCGCAGGTAAAATCCCTGCAGTTCCTGAAATAGTTCCTGCGGTGGGAACAATCTAATTTAGGTTCAATATGTGTGTATCTGTGTACAGGCGTGGGCTGTGTAGGGAGACTGTGAATGTTGGTGATTGATGTGGGTGTTTTACATTATGTAACGTATGAGATGAGGAGGTGTCGTATGTGTTTGTGTGTCGATGTGATGTCTTAAATGATGAATAACGACAAAGATTTTGACATTACAGAGAACAACAACAAAAGACACAAGAGGAGGTAGTTGAAATGAAAAAAAGGCAAAAACGATTGTCGCAGGAAATACTAGCACCAAGTTCTCTGCTATGCTGTGGGCATCTGCGTCACTACATACTTATCGGTCTGAGACGTGTTTGCATGTGTGGCTTTGCTGTTGTGTAAACGCATGTGTGCTGGGGGGAAACATCCAGCTCAGTCCCACCACTACGACCCCACCCTCAGACATCATGACACATTATGCCACATGACCGAGACAGAACCTGAGGTTGACCGTACCATGCTACTTGTCCTTGCGATCAGCTTAAGAAACAACAAGAGACAGCAGAAGGGCTTTCAGAAAAAGTACAGCAGCATCGCTCTGTATCCCCTCAATTTAGGGTATTGGTTTAAATATGAGACGTGCACACCACAGGAAAAATGACAAACATCGACTTCTCTTTCTTTCTTTTTTATCTTTTTTCCTCCTTTCGCCCAAATTTAAAAGAGCTGCGGGTTTCTGCAGACTAGGCAGCTACACTGGGCGCAACACTCGTCCTTCTTCCTACAGTCCCAGCTGTCCATCACTGACAAAACAGAGTCCATCAGTGACATCATCGAGTGATAGACGCCGCCCACTTGGCCTGTGTCAAGATTGGGTAATGTGTGAGTGCTGGACAAGGATAAGGGAGAAAAACAACACACTACACACAGAAGGGCAGAGGTCAGAAGGGTTAAAACTTCCATCGTTTCTTTTAGTTTGTTAGATTTTCTTTGGGAAACATGCCGGGATTATGTGAGAGACGAGGAGGAGGGGAAGAAAAGAACTGAAAGAAAAGGAGTCGTCGTCTCAACACAGGTAAAGCACAGGGAGAAAAAATGACTTGAGCAAGAGAAAACATAAAAAAGTGTAAAGCAAAGAAATTGACAAAAATAAAACTTGGAGAATTTTATATTTTGAAGAAAAAAAAGCCAACATCAAAACATAACAGACTTTTATCCAAACATAAATTAATTAATAGAAAAGGCTCGACAAATTGCAAGTATTTTTCAACAATTTTCCAATTGTCAAAAGTGTACTGATTGAAAAAATATTGAAAAAGCTTGTTTTAAAAGAAGCACAAATGAAATTTGGCAGGCTTGGTTTTGCTCAAAGAATTTAAAATTAAGGAAAACAGGCACGATGCTCCTCATCTAAGCATAAATGACATAGCTGACATTGTAACATTCCATCTCATAAGTAAATAAGTCTATACAACACATTACAATATAATCTACTTTAAAATTATCAATGAAATACAGAATTTACTATCATGGTAACATATATTTGCTGTGGTGACGGTAGCGCAGTGAGTCCTGAGAAAAAAGCCCCGGTGGGTTACCTGAGACTTCGCCCGGTGATGCTGTGGTTCGTCCAATGTTGGAGAGCAGGTGGTCGATGTTGGGCACAGGCTGAGACTGCACTGTGCTCTCCTGCTCTGCTGTGGTCTGGAGCCACACATGGAGGGAATAACAGAGAGAGCAGAAAGAAGAGAATGACTGAGCGTACGTATATGAGGGGAACATCTGCCAGTTCAGGTTTAGATGCTAAAACAATGAGCTCAG